AGTACAACTCCAAGTCATACGTTTTTCATATTCCAAGATGAGCCACATCCAACAAAAGCCGTCCGCGCACCAGGCACTTCCGAGTAACGACCTACTGTTTCTTTGGGAAAACTGGACATGTCGCAACCGTACCACTAGGTCAAGCAGAACAGTTAATTCTGAGTGGTATACCACCATTTGTTTGTCAGTTGACTTTCAAAAAATGAGGGAAAAAAATTGCTGCAGACGGAACACTCTTCACCCCGACAATGCGAGCTCCTACACATCGGCTCAAACAACTCCATTTTTGAGCACTCAAAACAACGATTTGACAGGTCATAAGCCATGTAGCCCCTGGGTGACTTCTTCTCATCCCGTACGTAAAAAACAAAATGGGAAGTCAACGTTTTTCGACACCTGAAGAAGCCGTTGATGCGTTCAGAATCCATGTTTTAGAGTTACCTACATCAGAGTGGCAAAAGTGCTTCGAAAATTGGTTCGAGCCCATACAAAAGTATATAGATCTTAATGTGGAGATTTTTGAAAGGCAGTAAACCGGTTTTCAATAAATAGTATTTGTTTCGGTTCTCAAATCTCAAAATATAAAAGGCAACCTACGTATATATATATTGAGCGGTAACTTCGTGTGTCAGTTTGTGAATCGGATTGCGCGTCCCTCCGAAAGTCACGTAGGCACGATGAAGAGTGTGAAAATCAAGTGAGTCAAGCGTCAAGCAATCAATCAAGCGGTTAGGAAAAAGTTATGAAATGGGATGTCAACCGATACTGTTTATACATATTGGTCAGCTAACAGGTCCTAGGTAAGCAGTCGTGGCTGTGGTGCACGCGTTAGCGTGCATAGCCCTACTGGTGTATAATACACCAGAAGATGACTACACACTTTATAGGCTAAGTTCTCTAGATCATTGCCGAAGTTAAGAAAACCTCTAAACAATTCTCAACAGAAATCACTGCGACGAGTTCGCTCTTACAACTCACTGATGATTGAGCCCATAAATCTTCCTAGAAGCCTGCAAATATGAAAACTCTACCGTACGAGACCAACAGCGTCTAACTTATGTAGAACTGAACTACATGGTATCCCCTCGGAGGTAAGATGGCAAAAATCCTAGGTCTGCTGATCTCAGGTTCTGAGCGGTCAACACTTTATCAATATTCAGGGACCTGTGAAGCATCTGTAAAATTCTGCTGTACTGAGAGTTCATCTAGTAAATTTAGGACATGCACTGAAACAAATATTTGGAGGCAGAGCTGACGAGAAAGGCGTTCTTCACAGCTATTTGTGTGGCTTGGTTAAAGAATGGAGTGCAGTGTCAGCTAAGGACAGTATCGCCATGGAGACTTACAAATGATGAAATGTTTCCACGATGAATGAAGATTCTTTTCGAAAGTAGTGGCCTCTGAGACTAGATAAGTTAATCGAATTAGTCAAGTGCGCCTTCGAATGTTCATTTCGAGTCTGTTCTGATTTCCGAAAAACACCCCTGAATTTTTGGTAGACATCCTTCGCAGCAGTCCACCAAAACGAGACTGAACTCTCATGAGTTTTGTAGACTACTTTGGCTGCTTTCATAGTCCGCCGGCCGGCACGCTACGACTATGAAAGCAGCCTTTGTCAGGTAACAGCCAGCAAATATTACACCATCGAGACTTTAGTTAAAGCAAAATGCGTGGCGCGTCCAACTGTGATTACCACCATTGTGTCTATTTCAGTTTCGCTTTTCAGGCAAGTCGTACTTACTTTTGACAAGAAAATTTTGTGTACTTGTAAATATTAAAAATAAGAATTATTATATCTGTATGGCAGCTGAAATCTTGCAGTTTTTTATTCCGATATTCTGCATATCATTGAATATAATATAAACATTATATATAACGTTTGCGTTGTGAATATATGTTCCGGTGGCAAATTGGAATTATGAGAATTGAAAGAAGGGTTTTCGATATGATCCACAGTTTGGTATTGACGTAAGTGTGCATCAGTGGCCCGAAAAGAAAAAAATTTGAAGGAGAGAGGTCGGATGACTGAAGCTGGAAAGGAAGAACAACTTTGTATATTCGGCTGAGCCAATTTTCTCTGATGGGTTCCTGAACTGTGAGGCCTCACATTGTTCTAGAATAGTATAGGTCCTTCCTATTGACAATGAGAGCAAATGTTTCCAACTTCTAGCAGATTGCTTCAAAATCGCACAGAAACTATTTCGACAGTTACGAGTATACTTTGTCCTTGTTTTAGAAAGCTGCGTGGACGATGTTCCCCAAAATCCCGTTGCTCTCAGACTGATTGGTCATGGAACGTGATAAACCTTTTCCCGGGGACCCTTCTCCCTTCATCTGAACGAACCTGC